ACTGATTGAGAATCTTGTAACGACATCGAGCTTCCAGCTCGTGTGAATTTTCGATCGATAGAAGAAGATAAAGGAAAATAAAACGAACGTATAGCTTAAATAATTAAATAATAAGTGTCTTCGGAAATTACGGTTATCGATTTTCTGGCGCGTTTTATCTGGAGCGAGTGTAAATTTTAAAGTGTGTGTGTGTGTGTGTGAAAGGGAGAAGCACTCTTTCCGTGCACATGCACGAGTTATCGTGAGTAATAATTCGCGTCTTTCCAAAAGAGCCCTTTCAAGAAGATCGCGCCGTCTCCTCACAATGTAATTTGCACACGGATGCATCCCCGTGCACGTACGAAACACCTTCACCGGGACCAATTTCTATAGTGCCTATAACACCACGGTGAAAGCCGCTGGCCTTTTGTTTTCGTCGATTAAGAACGCCCACTGCTATTTAAACTATCACAATGTGCACAGCTACATCATACATGTTTCGCCGCAGTCTGTTCGTTCGAGATATCTTGTAATATCTCATAAATTTATACTCGTCGTCCGACGAAACGTGATGACTCTGCCGCTTTGTAAATGCAAATTAATTCCAATTAATTCGTATTTTATATTAGATATCTTTAAATCGTATACAATGTCGATCTCACGATCTCGTTCTACAACGGAGGAGATTTATTGTAAAGTACACAGATACACCAAACGCGAGATGCATTAATATCTCCGCGGGAGATAAATCGATGAGCAAACGGGTTTTTTGATTCTGTAAGTGTTCATGATAAACCGGCGCGATGATAAAAAAAAGAGCCACTCTTAAAGAATTAATTGAATTCCACGTCGGAAGTATCGAGAAATAGTTTCTTTGAGAGGCACGGCGCCCTGCGCTTTGATAGATCAATAAAACGCGCTTTGTGTAACTAGTCGTTAAAGACGTTTTCCATTCTTCTCGTTGCCATGAAGCAGAGGAAGGCAACAGGTTTGATTCTCCGCATCTTTACCATTGATGCAAACCCTTGGACCCTCTCTTACGTGACATTTTCACGACGTAACGTCTATTGATACCCGGCCATGGAATGGATAGAAGTAAAGACTCTTGTAAAAGCATTTTTTCTTATACATCCTCTTATCGGGACGCAATTTGAGATTGCTCTTTTGCGATCAATGCTTGTCAAAGAAACAATTTCTCGAGAGAAAAGATCAGCTGCCTTCTAACGACATAGTTCAATGTAATGTTATGAATACTGATACGCGATAAAGCCATTTAAGAAAAAATCATTTTAAAAATATTTTTTAATTAAACGGTATGTTTCTAATTTCTTGAAAATTAATACCCACGCATTTAAATAAGCGAAACCGCACGCGATGTCTTTCAACAATATTTAATAATATAAACGGCAGGATGTGTTGTTGTGTGTGTGTGTGTGTGTGTGTGTGTGTGTGTATTTTGTAACCCTGATTCTAATACGTCTTGAAACATTATTTAAAATAATCTTTGCTTTGATGCTAGATGAATGATAAAACGAAATGCAGATTTCTAAATGGTACCAAAGGAAACCGTGATATATTTGCAAAGAGAATAAACAGAGGCAAGATTCAGAAAGGAAAATGAAAAGGAGGAGTTTGGCGAGCGGCTTACGAAATTGCGGATTTCTAGCAAGCGGGAATTAAGCTCTCCCTATACAAATTTACAGTATGATATTAAGAAACTTCGTAGTACGGTCACATAGGGCTGGTTCAACAGGCAAATCTCGTCTTGCGGCTCGCCACTATGTTTAGCAAAATATCGATCGTCTTCTACGAACAGTCTGTCGCAATAATAATGAAATAATTTCTCTACATTCGGGAAATTATTAAATCCAATGGAGCTCTTTGTCCAGCGTATTCGAGAACATTCAAAAAATTAATATGTACATCAAATTTCTTAAAATTACAGTAATTTATTATTAGAAAATTTAATGTGGAACAACAAAGTTCTTAAGATTCCGTTTTCAAGTCCCTCGAAGAATCAAGCTATAATTCCTTCATTGAATTGGATCGAGATCTATTCTTAGGATTGAAACGTTTATTGAAATCGGCAGTAAATATTTCCTTTGATCGTTGACCCACTTCTGGTCGGGAGGACATTATTCATTTTTCACTCAACAAGGGGCTCTGTCGATTTTTTCTAGTTACGCGAACGCATCGTTAAAAGTGCGTGATTGAAGGAGAATTTTAAGCCCTCTCTTTCTCTCTATCTCTCTATATCGCGAAAAATTGTTAGGCTCTGTTTGATCATACATAATCTGCCTTAATTAGAATACGAGTGTAGCCAGATGTAACTAACAAAGGATCAAGAAATTAATCTAGAAAGATTTATTGATGCTGTATCTGATGAGTGCAGTCTGTCACAAAGTTGTTGGCATGTTATTATATATTAAATTATATATAGTATTATCTTAGTATTATCTTAGTATTATCTT